GAGCCCCCTGCGAGGGGATGACGTTCAAAAGTTCAAGTTCAGTTCGCATTCGCATTGCACTGCCTGCATTTTGAACAAGGCAGCTCCCATGAGGTATCAGGCTCCGGCAGCTTCATTCGCATTGCACTGCCTGCATTTTGAACAAGGCAGCTCTCATGAGGTATCAGGCTCCGGCAGCTTCATGCGCAAGTGACAAGCCGGTCAGACACCGACTTTGCAGTTCATTGATTCACGCTCTGCGCTGACTCAGATCAACTCAATTCACTTTCACGTTCGAGAGACACCTGCATTGACATGAGTTGGACCGACAAGGCAGCTTTTTTGAGGCACAGGTCATGTGTGAATCAGTTGCTACATCGTGCCTGCCCATGCCGCAGTTGTCTTTTATTGTTTCCACCCCTTTCCAACCCTCTCTCTCCCTTTTGAGATGGCTGGACACCAGCTCTATGACATGATGCACTCGCTCCTGCAAAGCATTGCGGCCGGCACCGTGTCCAGCTCACCAGGCAGCGGTGGACCCAACCTGCAGTTGTCACCCCAGATGATGCAGCCCGCGAACCTCGTACCTTCACCCAACCCACAGACCACGCCCTTTGCACCGTTTTCCATGACGCCCTATGGTGGCCTCCCGAACTTTGGCAACGATGTCCGTGATGCCCTACGGTGGCCTTCCTAACTTTGGCAACGCGACATCCGGCGCCCTGATGCCCTTCATGGCTCAGAGCAGCATGCCATCTTCATTGCCCGAGCCTCAGCCGGCACGCGCAGCCGATGCAGCTGCTATGACTCCTGCCGCCGCTGCCTCGACCAACCCACATCCCACGGACACTCGTCCCCAGACACACTCCCGCAGATCCCGTTCCCGTCACAGACGACACCGCCACTCACACTCCCACACCAGTCACCACCGTGGACACGACAAGTCGCCACGGCGACACACCACCCGGCAAGCACGCAGCTCCAGCCGGTCACATTCCCCCTCACGGCCCCACCACCGCTCCAGGCGATCGCGCCGCAACCCCATCTCCCTCCGCTCACGCTCCCCCCGGCGCAGGTCCTCCCAACAACACTCCCCCGCACCCAGGACCACGGCCCCACATCGGGCCCCGCAAACCCACACCTCCCAAGGTTCCACTCCCCGGCACACTTCCGGATGGGACACCGACAAGTCTCAATGGTCCTCTCCACGCTGGTGGAACCAATCGTGGGGACACCCACCGCAGAGCCACAGTACAAGCCGCTGGGGCAAGCACCGCCACAGCACCAGCAACACAGGCAACTGGAGCAGTAAGGACAAGCGACAGTCCTGGCCACAGCAGCAACCTGGGCAACAACCGCACCCCCCATCCCGTGCTAGCCGCAACAACGCCAGCATGCCCCCTACCCCTGCACCCGCGGCGGCTTTCCCAACCCCCCCTCCCCGACCTGCACCTCCCCAACCCTCCCCCCGACACCCCGTGACGTTGAAGACCTGGATCCCCCTCCGTCGGAGGCAGAGCCCAACACAAACTCCGACAACCGGTTCAAGGCCATTTTGATGAGCCTGGACCCTGCCTTGCCACCTTCACACGCCGACCTCCTTGCAGAATGCTGGGAACTGCGAAACATGGACATGGATGAACCCATAGCGTTCGACCCCAGCTTCTACCATCTCCTGGGACGGGAATCACATGGCATGGTGTTCGCAACCACTTGGTTTCGCCGACCACACCCCTGGCCGGTCGCTGGCGGGCACTATGAGAACATGATCCGGCCTGCTGCATGGAGGCCTGAGAACCATGACTACCCGAGCTTTGGATGCTACGCTCAGGCCACTCACAGCCTGCAATCCCGACACGTTAGGCCAGCTTTTGCAGAACTTCACCATCGGAAAGTCTCAGCTTGGGGCCATCGCTTTTGGGGAACTGCGCTCTGTCAATCAGCACAAGATCTTGGAGTCAGGGGGAAGCCACGAGGACCAGCACAACGTGCGGCGCCACTTTGCATGCCGCAGAGGCAAGAAGTGGTGCCTTCACGGTGTCGCGCTGCAGCGCCCGGCGTAGCGGGGCGCGAACCGTACCATATTCCATGTGACCAGGAAAAGAACTGATGCCCGGTTTGTTTGCTTTGTTGCCTTTTCAGTGACCGGTCGTTCGCCATATGACCCTTCCTTTTGGTTGCCGTTTGCCAGCCTTTGGTTCGAACTTGGCCCCTTTCCCTAGTGTTTTCTCGTGGCTTTCCAACCCCCTCGAGGCTTGTTACCGATGCTCCAAAGGCAAAACTATCCACAGCAACCTTCACCCGCTGCATCCAACCACCATGGCAACATGTACGGCAACAACACGGCCGGAACCCTGTGCGGGGCCCTGTTGGGGCCTTGCTATGGATGCTCCTCTACGACCTGGACGCCACCGACTACACCTCCAACTCCCTGCCAACCCCACGGCCACCCCACTTCCCACTTCCAGCCATCCACTCCACCACCCCTCGGCCCCCGTCCCCCTTTCACCGGCTTTCTCCCCCCTCCTCCCGGCGGCGCGCATTTTCCCCCTCCTCCCCCCGGCCCCTTCACCCGCGGCCCCCTTTTCTCCCCTCCCTCCACCGCCTCGAAGGCCACACCCCCTCCTGCTCTTCGCCCCCTCCACTCAGTCCCAACACCAGCAGAGTTCAACCCCGACGACGATCACTACGACACCACCCGCGTCGCAGGGTACGACCTGCCCAAGGTCATAACGCATACCGCGTTCACCCGGCAATTGGGCATTGAGGGACAAGACATCGCTCGCGTTTCCCTCCTCAACTTCCTGCACGAACAGTGGAACAGCGGGTGGTTGCGCCACCTCGCCCATGGAGGTGAGGTACGCATCGTTGTCGCTACTCAGCCAAATCCGACAACGACATCTTGACTTAGATGCCCTCGCTCTTCACGTCGCTACACAGGAGGGCACCTCGACCACCAAACCAGCAGCCATGAAGCTACTAACCAGCAAGATCTTCGACTTCCTCATCTCCCTACGACCCACCACTACGACTGACCCAGCTTCAGCAACAGCTTGCCGTCGCACACAGCCAACTCGCACAGCAAGCCCCATCCCCTTCACCTCCCCCTACACCCACATCATCCGGCAAGCGCCCGGCTGACTCCTCTCAGGCCTCCCTTCTGGACTTCGGCATGAAGCTGACACCCCACTACCTGACGTTTCCCCCGCCCTCCCCGCTCGCACCGCTGACGACTCCCCTTCTCCCCCGGCCCCCCCCCCGGCACCCACCCACGGCGGGACCCCGGCGGCTTCTCCCCTCCCCTCTCCGCCCACCTGGAAGGAGCCTTGCGACCTGCTCCAACCCCCTCCCCACGATTGCCAATGGCTCACCAGCAACTTCCCACCCGAC